ACTTGTCATCCTGCCCAGATCAGACCCCATCCGTGAGAACCGCACTGAACCTGACATCCTTCCTGGTAATTTCCTGCTGATGTCTTTCTAACCTTTACAATTACATTTTCATTTCTTTCCTGTGGCCTGGGAAAAATGCCTTTGCTGCAGTTCTAATTGACTCCCACCTGGCACAGAAGGAATGTGACAAATGACACATAATGTATTGCCTTAACTTTCTGTTGCTCTTTGCAGAAGCTGGATTGCTGAGCGCCCTCTTGAGCCCCTGTCACCGCAGTGGGTGCTACGTGCTGAGGGCGTCCAAATGCCTACTATTTACACACCAGGCCATTCTGGCCACCCCCCACCTGAGGCTGCCGTTCCTCTCTCAGGCCTTTATGTTCTTCCTCTAGATTTCTCTTTCAGATTGCATATCGCTTCAGATAAAATCACGAACAACATATGGCCTGTTAGGATTTGCTTTTCCTAAACTCTGCCATTTTCTGTATTTGTGACACACTGCAGATTTTGTGAAGATCGCTTCATAATATTTGTTTACCATCTGCTGCACTCTATTTGGTGTCTTGCTAGGATTTTTGCCTCCATTTTAAGTGACATTAACAAAATCCAGCCAGTACATAGACTTTCTGGTTCTACTTTTGCTTCCCTAATGTGTTGGAAAATCATATTACTGTGCTCCAGGCAACTAGAGAAGGCAGGATGCTCATCGTGAGCCAGTGTGTCAGCTCCACCCCCCACCCTTCTTGGTTATATCCAGTAATGCTCTTTTGGTCAGATGGCAAAGAACCTCCACGTAGAAGACACAAAGACTTCAGATTATTTTTCTGCCTTCCGCCCGGTCTCACTTCCTTCTGTTGTTCTTCATCAGCCTGTTTATACTTTGGAACTCTTTGTTCCCTTCTAGTAAGTTTTTATGATTTATTGTTCCAGCAAGGATAAATTTTAAAGAGCTCAACCAGTTTAAAAGCAAATGGCTGGCGTGTTTGCTGGGTGAGCTGTTTGTGTAGGTTCAGCTTTAAAAAAATATATTTTATTTATTATTTTTATTTTATGTGTATGAGTGTATTACCTGCACATACGTAGGTACACCCATATTGTGCAATGCCTGCGGAGATCAGAAGAGGGCATTGGATCCCCTGGAACTGGAGTTATGGACGGTTGTTAGCCACCATGTGGATGCTGGAAATTGAACCCCCGTCTTCTGCAAGAGCAGCCAGTGCTCTTAATCACTGAGCCATCTCTCTAGCCCTAGGTCTAGCTTTTCATGTAGAAAAAAATTTCAGCTCTCATGTTAAATGCTGAGGTGAGTGGTTTGCTCTTGAGTGACCTTCAAGGGGTCAGGGACAGGTTCAGTTTTGCTTTTTGACCAGTACCACCAGTATTCTCATGAGTGTATTTTTCCAACTTAATCTCTTTGATGAGAGCAGGGAGTTTTATTCTTCATTAAAGCAAATAAGCACAGACACTAAAGAATAAAGCAGTCCCCTGAGCAAATCAAGATGTCCATCAAATTGGGTCTCCACTTAGACTGTGTTGGTCACCTGTCACATAGCCTGATTTTATCCCCAGGTTTAATTGGAATGTTCCTTTCAAAGGATCTGAAATCTTAGAGTCAGACCCCATGTTATGGGATAGTCCCAACACTTCGCCACTAGGTTTGCATTAAAACCTTTCTGTCTGTTTAGAGCAAGTGCTTTGGTGTGGTTTCTAGCTGTTTTGCACAGAACTGCTCTGCAAGGATTTTTATTCTGTCAACTGGCTTCCCTTGGGTTTACCTCCCCACCCGTGAAAAGAATCCCTCAAGATTATGGAGAAATCTAGAATTCCAGAATATTTTGTTTTAAATAGTCTAAATTACTCAAGGCTGGTTTTGAGAATGAAAAGATTTCTTCCTCCCTCACTCTATTCCCTGCCTACCCCAACTTCTCTCTCCCTCCATTTTTTTCTTATCTAGAGAGATTGTGATTTAAATGATATGTATGGAATTTATGCCCTTTTCTTCAGAAATTATAAAAAGGCTTTTATCTGTTTTCCTGAACTCTGAGCACTTCCCTATTTTATTTAAAGAATAATTAAGGTCATGTTTATATTGAAATTTGACCATAAGTAGTCCCTTAGCAACCATCTGCATAGCTAGGTCTGGTGCAGAGATGAGATTTGCAAAAAGCTCCTTCCTTCAAATTGGACAGAATTTGACCTAGTTTTATTTATTTATTTATTTATTTATTTATTTATTTATTTAATTGTATATGTGGGTCGGGGGCACATGTATTTGTGTGAGCATGCCCCTGGAGGTCGGAGATTGACTTTGGATATATTCCTCAGTTGCTTTCCACCTTATTCTTTGAGTCAGGGTCCTTTACTGAATTTGGAGCTTGCTGCTTTGGCTAGACTGGCTGGCCAGCAAGCCCTAGGGACCCTCCCTAGCCCTGGAATTATAGGTTTGTCCAGCTTTTCACACAGGTGCTGGAATCTAAATGTAGGTCCTTGTGTTTGTGGTGCAGCAAGCACTTTACCATCTGAGACATCTCTCCAGGCCTCCTTGACCTGATTTTAAAGCAGAAATATGAAGTGCTTTCATGCATGGTAGTATATAGCATTATGCGCTTTGATTCTATATCTGTTTTTTTCCTCTTTGTCTCTTGGATTTTTAATAAAACTTCCAACTTAGCTTTGAGTATGTTAGTTTCTAAAACCTGCATAGAAACTCCTTTCTTCTGTTTCTGCTAGCATGGCATTTCTCTCTCAGTTTGGCCTTAGAAAGTCTATGTAGGACCAAAGACAGAAAGACAAGGTACTAGGTTGCAGGAGTACAGGGATGTGCTTTCTTGATTACCAGTGTGGGTCCTTATTCAGTGAACAGGCAGCGCTTAGCAGTCGAATTTCAGTAGGGGTTCTTGACAGCTCCTGACTGTTTAGCAAGCGTGATTTGGAGATATTAATTCAGTAGGGTTGGGGAACTCTGCAGAGTGAGGCTTTGGAAAGAAGACACATGGAGAGCTGTTGGCTCAGTCGATGAGTGTGAGTGAACCCGAGGGAAACACTGGTTTTTCTGTTGCTGTCAGATTGCTATTGGCTACTGGGAAAGAAAAGGAATGGGTAGCATTGTGTTTGGCAATTGGCTGATCAGGAAAAAACATAGACTCCTCCTGTGGCCCCATGATCTGGTCACCAAGCAGAGGGAAAGGAGGGCAAGCCTGCTGATGTGTGGTAAGAGCACAATGGATGCATTTAATCAAACCAGTAAGTATATTCCTAAGAGTGAACGAAAATATAATACCAATTGTTCAGCAAATGCTGTGGTGCTGAGCATAGCAAGGACTGGCCCCTTCCAAGTTGTCACTTTGAAAGGCTGTGTACACTGGTTCAAAAGTTTTAGGCAGTCTTTTCTTTCAACTGTGCATTTAAAGCTACCACATCAGCTATTAAATGCTCCTACTGTTTTTAAAAATCACATATATCTGTCTATCATGTGTGTATTTTTATGTACATGTGTGTGGATATGTGTGCCATGGTATATGTGTAAGTTAGAGGACAACTTGTAGGAGTTGGTTCTTTCCTATTGTGGGTTCTGGAGATGGATCTCAGGTCCTCAGTCTTGGCAGCAAGTGCTTTTATCCACTGAGCCATCTCACCAGCCCAAATGTTCCTCTGCTTGGCAAATGTTTATCTTCAGAAGGGTAAAGTATCTAAATATTTAGAAATAGCCAGAAGTCATTCTGAGTCCAATCTGGGAGAGGATGTAAGTTGGGGATCAGGCCAACAATTCTATTTTGGGTTAAAAGTGAGATCTGATAGTTCCCTGTGGCCTATCTTTAGGTTCTTAAAAGCAATTTTTGAAAATATATTTCAAAACTAAGAGAATTACTCAAATAAGCAGGTTGTTTCTAGATGTGGCCTCTTTGATACTCAAATGTGTACATTTCTAGTTATGAGTTTTGTAAAGTCTTATTATCTTCAAGTAAGGCTATTAGTTCCAGGACAGCTAGGGCTACAGGAAGACCCTGTCTCAAAAAGACCAAAAAAGAAAAAAAAAAGCATGGCTCACCATTTGAAGCTTTCAAGGTCAGAGTGCCCAATAAAAGTGAAACTTCCCAGAGAGCTCTGCTAGATAGGATGACTGATGGGAAAGTGCGAGGCAAGATGGAGCTACTCTGCAGGCTAACCCTGTAGGAGGCCCCAATCTTCTTCTAGAAAGAAGAAATAGTCATGATATCCACATTGTAGGATTGTGGCAAGGTTCTTCAGATGGTATTTCATATAAAGCACAAATCAAAACACCTTGTGTGTGATAGTGTTTGGTGAACATGAGCACATGAGCCATTTTCATCTGCTACAATGATGTGATGGAGTGTCTGGGAGAGAGGCCAGATGAAGACATTGGAGGACAGGGTACCAGCTGAGAATTAAGACTGTACTGATAGAACAAGATGGCCTGTCTGTGCTTTTAAACATTCTTCCAAAAACCTCTCATCATTCTCCAGGTACAGGTCTAGAATGACTTGAGAAATGTTTTGATTTTTTGGCTTTCTTTTAAAAGAAAATTTTAGTTCTTTCTTGAGGTTCTGATTATATTAAAACAACAACAACTCAAAGAAACTATCTCTCCAAATTCCCTCAAGATCTTCCACTGAGAATTTATTTGGCTATCAGAAAACCAGTTGGATATATAAAAATCCAGTTATATGATGTTTCTGCTGAGCAGGTTTTTTGTACATTAAGAAAATGCAGGAACTGGAAAGATTTCTCAGTGGTTAAGAACACTAACTGCTCTTACAGAGGACCTGGGTTCAGTTCCCAGCACCTACATGGTGGCTCCCAATCATCCTGTAACTCCAGCTCCAAGGGGGATCTGATTCCTGCTTCTGCCCTCCACAGGCAACTGTACTCATGCACAGACTTCTACACACAAATGTGCACATACACACACACACACACAGATAAAAATTTTAAACAAGAATGTAAATCTTACCACTTCCATTGTATTCATTTTTAAACAGATGAAGATGAAGATGGTGATAGAATCACAGTGAGAAGTGACGAAGAAATGAAGGCAATGCTGTCTTATGTAAGTGTGTTACATGTGAGGGCCGTTTTAGTTTTTTAAATTAATGAGTTAATTAATTTGGGGGTGTGGTACATCCATACCAGGGTGCACATGTAGAGATCAGAGGGCATCTTGCAGGATTTGGTTCTTTCCTTCCACCTTGTGGGTGACAGGAATCCAATCAGGTTGTCTGGCTTAACAGCAAGCTCCCATCCCCAGTGAACCATCTTGCCAGCCCAGCCAATGGGGTGACTTGTTTGTTTTGTTTTATTTGTGGGGCTTTTTGTAGCCCCCGTTGACCTGGAACTCTCTATGTAGACCAGGTTGGCCTCAATCTCACAGAGATCTGCCTGCTTCTGCCTCCCAAGTGCTGAGATTGAAGGCCTGTGTCACCAGGCCTTGGCTACAAGGACTGTTTTTAAAGATTGTTAATGTAGATGCTGTTTCTCGGGCATAGTGAAGCTATGTAAGTAAATCACAGTTGCCGTAACATTTTTCTGTATAATAGATAAGGTTTTCGAAGATTTCCTTATGTGAAAGTTAAGGGCATTATTTTCAAAAGACACTTACTGATCATATCATGAACATTAGGAATAATGCATCTTAATGACTTTTGCATTAGGTATGGTGCAGACTAAATGGACTATCAATTTCTTGTATTTTTTATGCAGTACTTAAAGTAACGGCTCATTAAAAATGAACCCCTGGGCTCTAAAAAATTTTTCAAAATCTACTTTTGACTGGAGATCTCTTTCACCCTTCCAAACTATAGTTATAATGTGGCTGTAGGCTTAATACAGATGTAGAAGATACATTCTTGGCTATTTTATGTACTGCCCAGCCTCTTACTTGTACCCAAAAATGAACTGCAAAGTGATTTGAATCTGTCTTGGACTGACTTTTCTTTTGTTCTCAAATGTCAGTGAAAATTTGCATTAACATTTATCTGGGATAAAAATAGATAAGAGGAAGAGTACAATTCTAAAGCTCCAGTGCTAAGCTTAAAAAAGTCAGCAGTGTAAAACACAGCTTCCCCAAGTCCCCATTTGAGCTTTCCCGTCCACGCTTTTTTGTTTTTTTCTTTTTTTAAATTTTATCTGAGTTTGTAATCTGTTTGGAAAACCATTTCTTGTGGTCTGGTAGGAAGAGCATTGCACTAGAAGTGGAAAACCACAGCTCTGCTTTGGGTTCCTAGCCTGAGGCAGATCACTTAACCTTTCAGAGCTGCAGTTGCCTCATCTGTCAATGGGGGATAATAATACGTGTCCTTTCCACTGCACAGGGTCATTGTAATGATCAAATAGGATAATAGATGTGAAGGCTCTTTGGAAAGTTGAATATTCTATACAAATGCAAAGTGATATTATGGTGGAAATGATGGAATGGATCAGATTGAATCCTTTTTCTCATCTCTAAGACTCTAATCATAGCCAACAGTGAGGTTGTAAGTTTTTGATAAACTTCAACCAGGTTATTGTTTCATTATAATGAAAACTGTAAACTATCTGTGTGGGTTTCAGCCAATAGTTTTAATTTAGGGTAGGAGGAAGGAGAACAAGAAGGATGGCATGATTAGCAGAGCATTGCATTCCAACCAGCACAGAGTAGGAAAAGTCAATTTCCCATTGACTTCCCATTAACTTATGTGGGAGTCTTTGTGTACTGAGAATTTAGAGCTGAGCTCATCAGCACTTGGAAGGCAGAGCAGGATTGTCTTTGGAAAGGCCCAGCACTTGTATTGATGGATTGGCTAACTCTCCTGAGAATGTGACATGTTATTTTTAGAGAACACGTGCCACAGATGGGTTCTAGTTTTTCTCACATACACCCATGGCAGAGAGCTGACATCAATGGCCTTTCACTATGTAGTCAGCTATCCACACTTAAGAGGTGTGTGTTTCTCAGAGCATTACACCTTTGGAGAAATAGTGCTGAGTGTGATCCTAGTGTTAATGCTAATCACTTGTATTTCTGATTGCATGCTGTGTAACTCAATGCACAAAATACTTTTTAATGAAAAAAACCTTGTATTTTGACTAGCTTATACATGTCTCCCTTTCTCTCTGTATATGTCTGTGTCTATCTGTATGAATGGTAAGCATGCATATATGTGTGTATGTGCACATTCATGTGAGTGCAGGTGTGCACTTGGGAGGCAGATACAGGCAGATCTCTGTAAGATTGAGACCAGCCTAGTGTACATAGTGAGTTCCAGGCCAGCTGGGGACTTGTCTCCAAAACAGAAAGAAATGAAATAAATCCCCCAAACCAAACACACACATACACACAAACACACACAAAACAGAATTTAAGTTCAGCCTTACTTCCCATGCCAAATCCCATACCCATTCACAGTGTGTACCCAGCCCACCATCCTACTGGGAACTTTATGTAAAGACCATTATTAAATCCAGAATGATTTTTGTTTATATAGTATCTTAGTTGTGGTATCAGTACCTATACATTGCATATAATTTATACTTATTTTTCAAATGCAGTGTTTATTTTTTGTGGTAGACAAATACTAGTCATGATTACATAATCTGTATAACATGCCTGTAAGCTTAGTAGTTCCTGAGGTTTCTTGAGTGGTACCTTTTAGTCTGAAAACAGCACAGATAAATATGTTGGCCACCATTTTGGTCTGTCTTGGTTCTTATGGTTAGAAATTCCTTTGGTGTCCAGTTTTATAGAGAATCTTTCGGACCTAACTTCGCAATAGATTGTGGTTGATAGTCCTCATAATTACGAACCTCCTATTAGACTTTTGCAATATATTTTTTTGAAGTTTTAGGGCAATTTTATTAGAATTTTAAGGAAAAATCCTCAGAGCAGGTGAGCTGGTCATCTTGGCAGCTGCCTTGAGGAGGAGAATGGTGGGAAGAAGGAAAGAAAGCCGTGGAGCCATGCAGGTTTACAGCCTGCATGGGGGTCAGGCATGTGACTGACTGGCAGCCACATGGCTGGGAGAAGGAAGCTTTAGAGAAAAAGTAAAGAAATACAAGATGCTAGGGCAGCCCAAAGCATTAAAAAACTTCAATTGGACTCTGGAAAATAATTGTTGTGGAGGCATCAGGGAGGATACCAACAGAGGACTACGTTTTTATTGTAAGAACAAGGTTTTCATATGGAATTCAATAAATGTGTGGTCACTTTAGTGTTTCTTTAAAAGACATGAACAAGGCAAAAGTAGAGGCATTCTTACCATTATTAATCCCTTAGTCCTTCTTTTTCACTGATTACAGAGATTAAGTGAATAGATAA